GAAAACATGTTAAAACTTCAAAAAAAAAAAAAAAGGAAACAAAAACAAACCAAAAACAAAAAAAAAAAAATATGAAAACAAAACACAAGTCCAATGAATTAAATAAAAAAATAAAAAAAATGAAAAAAAAGGCAAAAACTTAACCACCCAACGACTAACTGATATTTGTTCGGTCCAATTCTGCAAGTGTCAGTCAACATGACGGTTAAGACGGTTTACTGTTTTCGTTTTCCTTCTCAAATGCTTTTGAACTTCCACGTTTCCTAAGGCTCTTGGCTAACAACGAGTAGCAAGCAATATCGTAGCAAATAATAAGAAATCATCGAAAACAAAAAACAAACCAAAAAAAAAAAAAAAAAAAATAACACAAATAGACATTTAAATTGTCAGTTGCTTTTCTGCCTCCCTCTCTTCCACTTGCTCAACATAATAGTCGTTGTTTTTGCTAATGTTTTGATTGTTTTCACAATATATTGGTTTCCGAAATTCGGCTGCTTCTCTCACACCACAACTTTTGTAAATTTTCGTGATTTTTGGAAGTTCATGACTTGTATTTAGTTTTTTAATCAGACACTGTTCAACGATTTCCTTAGCTTCTAGATACTTAAGACATTTGTTGAGTTTTTTATTATGCCGATTACAATGTTGTTAAAAATCCAATCGTCTAAGATAGCTAGGAAAGAAATGCTGGCTGAAAAGCAATCTTGCAATATTATTATGATGCAATTTGACAATGAAGGTCAACTTGTGATTATAATCCCATAATAATAGATTGGTCAATAAGTCCCAGGAAGAATATTTCAACTCTCGAAATTCAATATTAATCACTTCGTTATGAGTGATGCCGTCGGTCCAACGATACGTTTCGTTACGTTTTTTATAGAATTGTTTATCAAAATCGTCAAAAGGCTTCCGACATCTACAATGATCAAAATCTATTCCCCGAATCGTGCCTTTGAGATTTGCATACATGCATATATATGTATGCGTATGTATGCAACACCCATGAGGAGTTAAGGTGGAGCCACCTTTCATTCGATCGATTCATATGTCTCACCTCAAGGCCGAACGCCATTGAAAATGTTCCGGTTCAGACCAGGTTTTTTTGGACCACACCCCATATAAGGACTGGTTTTTAAGCCATTACATGAATAAATGCAGTGTGATGTGAGGGATTTAATGATGGACGGTGGTCCACTGTAGTGTTTTTACTTGTTCTTACACAAATTTTACTTCAACATTGCTACGCAAGCTATATGTTCAACTACATATGAATAGGCACAATGATCTTAAACACAGGCATCTGAGTTCGTAATGCACCATACAATCGTATTTATATATAACTGACAATTAGGTCACGTCTTATACCTAAGAAACCATCCAAGATAATTCTTAATCAACAGTGAAATCTGATTGCCCATGTATTCCTTCTTCGATCCATTTGTTTAACCTTAAAGCATGGCAAAGCCATTGAAGCTTCTCAATCACGCATACTTTAGAAATGGATTCAATGTGTCTGAAAAGCTAAGCAAATTCTTTCTTAGAAAATATTTTAAATGGTTTGAAATTTTTTTCTTATTTAGAGTACATTTTTTTATGTAAATCATAAACCCTAACCGGCTACGTAGCTTGCACCTTGTCTAATAGCATCTGTGATCTACGCGGTTCCAAATTACCAGCAATAATAAGCAATTCGCCATCAGATATAGCCGAGGCATTGGATTGTGGAGGAGTCGTGTAGTTTCTCACTTGCCAATTACGTCCTAAGGAATCCTTGAAAATTCCTTGAATGTTGTTCCTAATTTACGACACCCGCACAATCCTGCTAAACTAACTCGATAATGATAAAAATTAATCTTAAAAGTTGGTAAGCAAGATTCGAGCATGTTTTTGTCACACTTTCCCTTATTTTAATTCGTTATATCAAGCGAATGGCTTCCAATTTATAAATACAGTGAACCTGTCTTTTCTCTTTATAATCAACATGGCTTTCACTTGTCGTTTTTTGCCTCGATTTTTTGATTATCAACTCCAGTTGCTTGGCAAAATATGGTCACCTTTGCTTGCTCACATACTTTTTTTACTTATCTTACGCACCTTCGCCTGCAAAATTCGTTTTATCAAATAGAATAAAACATTCGAGTTTCTATAAATTTTCACACTATGTATAATGCGATTGGCAACCTATCACCTTAATAATATAGAATCGCCTCGCTCATGACAAGAAAACCTTGTAATTTCAAGCGAAATAATCGAAATAATTAATCTTTTCATGTACACAATTGTTTGATCATCATTCGGAATTCGTAAAGTTTACACTTGCAAAAAAAAAAAAAAATAAAGAAAAAAATTGTAGCTATAATAAATAAAGAAATAAATAAAAACAAGTAAGGATCTTATATTCGGCTATAGTCGGATCTTCTATACCCATCACGTCTATTTTCAAATAAAATGCACATGTTTTTTATTGCTATTTATGAATAAGCAACAATTAACCGAATTGTTGACTTTTGCAAACACAGTTGTTTCTCAAGTGGCGAGCGCGCTCTTTGAAGGATTTGTCCCCTTTTCAACAACCAATTTGAAATCGATATATTCATTCTTGCGAGCAATAGTGTGTTTACCTTCAACGGCAATTGTTAGATAGACGAACAGCTACGCAGACGTACGGACATACATAGAGTGTTTCCAAGGTATCTTTTTGCACGCTACAGGCGTTTTTATGAGAGGGTGACATTTGCGGACTCTGTAAGATTGTGAGGATGTGACCGATTGGAAACTCAGAGACTGCGGGATCATCAATAGATGTTGTAGTTGAGAAACGATTTTTTTTTTATTTTTTACAATGTAAATGGTCTAAGTTTACGTGAAGGCGTGGCGATCAGGACAATTTCCAATATTACTCTGAGTGCTAAACCTGCTAGCATTTCTGCTAAACTTTCCGTGTTTCGGCCAGTGGATAGCACTGGCAAAAAAATCACAGACGGACACATTACAATATAAGTGAAAGCATTGGACGCTGGTTTGCCTTATGACAGTTCCCTATGAATCTTCCACAATCTCTATGTTAGAGAATCCTTGTGAAACTTTCGATTCTAAATTTGATGACCAAAATATACATATTTTATGGGATCTCTGATGTTGTAAACATTTTGACAAAATAAATAACCCCCCCACCCCTCCGACAGTTAATGTAATAAGTAAGAGAAGACTTTTCTATACTTGGGGCGAATAACGAACACCCTCCACTTAAGGAAAAAATATATATAAAGAACAGGCAGTGTTTTCGTTAAAAGGGAGCATGTCGATCGCAAATTTTCTTTTGCCATATTCTTATAAAGCTCTAGTAAGAACATTGTTAATGAGTTGTCTCTACTTCGCAAATTGCTAATGAGAATGTTTTGAAAACTTCAATACGTTTAGCAGGTTGTTTCAATTTTTCGCTTATAGGTCGAATTTTTTATCTGAACCACCAGATTTAGTGTCACGCTCAATATTGAATTGGCGGTACATATGCAATTCTGTAAAAAATTGAACAACAATTGAATTCTGTATAGCTGAGTGGATAACGCCAAGTTTTCACTTTACGGATAAGAGCAATCATGCTAATCATAAACTTCAAAATCGGTGTTTATATGTTTTATGAAAGTGAAACCAAGTTACAAACGAATTTGCCTTTCCCCTTTCTTGCGTACGAATCTCACGTCGAAGAAAACATTCATCTTCGGAGACGATCCGTATATCGATCCAATTTTTGATCTCTTTATAAAGAAGAAAGTGCTGGTCGCAATAAGTGATAGTCAGAGGGAGTAATGTCTAGAGAATGCAACGAAATAGGATAGGACTTCTTATTTCAACCTTTCCAAGCATTTTCAATTATTAGATTGTTTCTGTCGAGCACTTCATGCGAATTCTATAAAGAGTTCGACAAGGCCACAACTAGCGCTGTCTGTCAAAAAGCAAGGGTCATTTTCAAGTGGTATGGTACATTTATGATTTTCTCCCGCCCAAGCCAAACCCTTACCTGATAATCATGGTAAGCAAACGTACCGCTTTAACTACTAACTGCTAAGCTAAGAAGAACAAAACCACTTATACCACAGGAGAAAAGCATGAAATGTAAATAAAGAAGCCCTTCTAACTTTTGGTGGCAATATTCCAAGACCATTTTTTTTTTATTATATATGATAGTGGATAAGCATATCGCGCTAATGAAATACTCACGCATATGCTATGCATATTCTTTACGTGAATATCTTTCGATGTCACAAACAGAGTGTTAAAATGAATACTACAACCTTTTCGGAGAGCGAGCGTATAAAAAATATTAGAGAAAAAAAAAAACAAAACAAAAACAAGTATTTAAGGTGCATAAATCGTGAATTGTAGTTTTTTATGCGCTTATCGTAAATAACGTTAGCAAACATTAGTTCGGAATTTTTATATATATATATATATATATATATATATTTTTCTTTAATGATTTATGTTCCGTTATTTATTGTTTTTAATATTAAATAGAAATCTTTTTTATGTAAATTTATGTTTATATGTAAATGGTGGCAGAAAAAAACAAAAAAAAACTTTATAATACACATATATAAGTCAAATTCAAGTTGAAGCAATAAATAGTTGCTTGCTAGTATATAAAAAACTGGTTTTTAATGGTAGCCTAATAATGAATAAAAAGCAAAATATTATTAATAAAGTGAAAAAAGATCAAATAAATCAATTAAAGTAAAATGTTAAACACATAAAATTAAATAATAATAATTTCACTTTTTATAGTTAAATTGTTATTCTCTTCATTCCTATATCGACTTTGTACACCTCTTCGGGATCTACAATACACATCAGTGTAGTGAGAGATATGCGCCATCAATTAAAATCATTTCAAATTATTAGATATTATCTGTTCTTTTCTTTTTTTTTTTTTTTTTTTTCTTTTTTCCCTATAACGAACAGCTTGGCGCACTCCTTTCAGACAGACAGAGAGACAGACAGACAGACAGACAGACAGACAAACAACAATCTAAAAAAGATATTTAATTATCAAGAGTACCTACTACCTAAGAGGGGGGTACGATATGTGTTAGTGTATGTACGTGTGTGTGTGTGTGTGTGTGTGTGTGTGCAAGTGTATATGGAACATAGCTCTTCTTGTTTCTTCTTTTTTTTTTTTTTTTTGCTTTTCCTTTTGTACACCGTTCTAACTTTACAACCGCAAGATAATTACTTATAAACTAATTTTGTACCTTCAGATATGATCACAAAAGGAAAAAAAGCCGTACTCAGACGAATCTCAAGCAAGTAAGTACACACGTCGTTGCAGTCGTTGGAAACTACTGCGCGCAAACACTCGAGCAAGCATTCATCAACACTTTAACAACTTACTAGTAAATGTGCTGCGCGCAAAGTGAGTGAACTGCTGTGTGGTAAATTTAGTATAACAGGCATAGTATTTGAAAAATAATGCTTTCAAAGCTGACGTAGTAGTAGAAAGAGACCTTTGATTTTCTTAAAAAAAAAAACAAAACAAAAAAACAAAAAACAAAATCTAAGAAAAAGAAAATTCTTTTCTGAGACTTTGGTAATAAAAGAAAAACATGAATATATACGAGTGAAAAACAAAATCTCATCAGCTCTATGCTTATGGTATGTGCAGGTGCAAAGATGCCATAACTCTGTTAACCCTTTCAGCGTTTCTAACACTAACTATGTTATCCATCAAAAAAGAAGAAAAAAAAAATAAAACTCAACATATCTTGTGCGCGCCCCTAATCTCCACCTCTGCTTTTTTTGTCCACCATAATTATGATGAGAATTTATTGTAAGCAGCATAAGCAAGTTTTCCTTTTCAGTTGAAAAGAATGTTTGCAACGGAATTCAACTCTTTCATCTCTTAATCATTAAATCCTAAATTCCATCAGTATCTTCTTATGTACGTGTATCTGCGTTTTTGTAATAAAGTTACAAAAGAATCGGAGATATTTTGAAATTTACTTTGCTGCCTAATTAATGCATTGATGGTTTACACAAAAAAAAAAAGAAAAAAACTAAATTTTGAAAGACCGGCGCTATCCCAGAAAAAAATTAAAGACTAATAAAGTACAAAATTTTCTTTACTTACTATTAGAAAACACTACTCATTTACGAAATTGTTTATAAAGTTGAAGTTTCGCGTATTTATTCACTCTTTAGTTGGGCTAAGTCTAAAGCATCCCCGATTAAAATATAAGCGATCTTCAGCCCCATTAAGCAAAACGAAATGTACACGTTAATATTTCTTCTAATCCCTTGACTTTCGGGCGCCATAGATGTGAGAAGACATCCGTTGCGAAGAGCGGGGGAGACGTGACTTGGGTACTGCTTGTATTTATGCTCTAAGCATAGCGACTATCAGACCAATGTTTAAGAGTGCAAACCTTAGTGCAGCAGGATCTACTCGTAGCTATAGTGAGCGTCCCGTCAGTAGAGTAACAATACTTATCGGTTGGGCGCACACGTCCACTACGCTGTAGTCACAAACTCTCTATCTCCATTTCTTCACTTTTTCATCTCCTTCTGACAATCACCACGGCCCATGAATAAGGTACACGTCCTGGCTACATACAGAATGTCGCTATGACTTATTTCTGCGTAACTCCTACTACTATAAGGAAACTTTTTGCCCCTTACCGGTTAGTCAATACTCTTAACGGCAGTCTTTAAACAGCCCGAAGATCAAATTAAATCGTGAATGAATAAACCAAGAGAAAGATACTTTGATGAATTTAATCAAGAACTTGTCCTGCATAGATTTTTTAAACAAATATCTATTTAAAATGGACTTGCTATTGATAAAGAAACCAAGATTGCAACGTATGTGCAGATTAATCTAGTCAAGCTGAAAGAAAATATCTTATCTTAGAGTACGTAAGAACGTTTTCTACGCTGTTCCTTTCTTAATTCTCTCAAAGTCCCGCTTCATCTCAATTTTTACGATATTTTTCAAAGGCAAGGATCTAGAAACCTGCTTCACCTTTTCTTCGTTGGTAAATCTCTCCTCATTAACCGGTTGCTGATTCCACGCTGATTCACTGCCCAGGTCTTTTCAGGTAAAGATTATTAGAGCTTACAATTCGTTGCCGAAAGGCTTACGACATTTTACTTGCTCTTACTTCACATACAAACGTAGACTGGACGGAATTTACACTTGCGCGTCGAGTATAAATAATTGCAGGTAGATAATAAGGTAAAGTAATTGTTACAACTAGAGCGGACAAATAAACCACGTCCTCAAAAATAGGCAGAAGCTCTTCCGAATGGTAGATTCCAAGTTCCCTATGGAGAAATATTGGAAGCGGCTAAAAATAACTTGTGATTGGCCGCTTTATCTGTCATCGAATATAAAAGAACAGTTTTTTAGCCAAGATGGCCAAGTTGTAGTAAACCACTACAGTCAGACTTGAAACGCGAATGAGCAAATGTACGTAGATGATACGATAACGTGAGCAGCTATGAGCAAGAAAGGATAAATAAAGTAAGAGAAAAACTCCTTATACCTCCTATTCCTGTTCTCTTCTTTCTTCGCTTACTCTTGCAATTGCATTAGACTAAGTTATTTGGGTTCTTTTTTTTAATCTTTTACTAATATTTTTATATTACTACGCTTTAATTAGACAATCGGATACTCCAAGCCCATAAAAGTTTTGCAATGATTGTCAATCGATAATCGTTAAAATTTAGAAAGGATATATGTCATCTGACGATAACTGTTATCCGAGGAGTAAGATCCGAAATTTGCTATTTACCCAGGACGAGTAAATAAAACCTATTACCGCTTCCCAATCAAACCCGACTATCTCAACTTTCAGAGCCAATCGTTACCCCGCAGTTACAGATCTAATTAGCAGAGTTCCCTTACCTCCACTATTCTATCGACGGGAGACTCTTCACAGCCTCTTGAGAAGTTTGCATGATATGAAAAAAAACGCTGTAAAATTGTGTAACATGCTCACAAGCGAGAAAGGCCCAGCAGTCATTGGTTTTAATTACTTCTTGATCCTTATAAAAATGTCACTATATTAAGGCGCATTCGAAAGGATTGCCAATTAGGTTCAACTTTATATTTAACATTAAGAGAGATTAAGGGATTAAGGGAAGATGTAAGGGAGTTGTGCTACTCATACTCTTGCACCCTTCAACAAAATGCGATCATTTTGCAACGCTCGTTAATAGGATAACAAATGAAGCCGCGAAAACCGTACACTTTCTCTGCTACATTAAGTTTATTTAGTTATTTCTGTCTGTCAGTCCATCCGTCCAGGAAAGTTGTTTGCAGATCAAATTGCTACATATACAATTATAATAAAACGATTCTTGTAAAATGGATATCTTAAAGCTGAACGTACACTCAGACATCTTGGACCTTTTTTTTAATGTTAAAGGATTTAGGGCATGGCCAATGAAAATTTTTCGGAAATTTAAATCACATATTGGCTTAATAGATGCATTGATCTTTGTAGAATGTACGTAGAAAAAAATTGATTAACCACAAAAAATGTTTTCCTTCAAGTTTCGTGGTTTTTCTGAAAGGGATCGCCTGCGTACCAGCTGCACCTACTAGGAAATTATAGAGTAATGTATCATTGCTGATTTCTAAATTCTCTCATAAGGATATTTACGTTCATTTAAAGGTCTTTCCGAATAAAATAAGGGATGTTAGTACAGCGGTGATATGAAGCCGAGGGAGGTAAGAAAACGTTCAGCCTTCAGCCGTCTGCCAAGAGATTAAACGTTTAAAAATAAAGTTTTTGATGTTAATTATCGGCTATTGAAGTAGACATTCTGTTATCGTTTTCTCAATCATTTCGCAACCCATGAGGTGTAAAATATGCAAATTTTGTGTTTGACCGCAAAAAAGGCGCTTCCGGGCGTAAAATGAAGGTCGAGGGAAGCAAATGAGGACGAACATTTAATAACGGAAGGCATTTTTATTGTCCTTGGAAAGGAAACTAATAGATAGAAATGATAGAAATTGATTGCAAAGTATAAAAATGCCTGCAACGCATATCAATATTTAAAGGCGTTTCTCTCGAAACGTGATCTTTGAAAAAGACCTATACACGAACCCCCGCAATACTCGTGTTTTCATTCCAATTTTTACAGTAGCCTTCTTTGCGGAAATATATGGAGCTTTTTTATTAGCAAAAGGGCGGTTTTTTTATTCGAAAACTGAACTTTTTCATCCAAACACTCAGCGATTACACTGAAATCGAATTTCTTCTGAAATGTTTGTGTACAATGGCGTAGGTGAAATGTTTTCTCTTCTTTTTTAATTCAGATTTGTACTGGGAATGCCTCCAGAAAATGGCACTGCTTTTACTAATTTGAATATTTTTGCAAAATCATTTTTTTTTTCTACGTATACTTAATAAATTATCTTTAAAAAAAAAAAAAATTCTTTTTTTTCCGGGCTGTTACAGTGGACTAATCCTCCTTAAACTCGAATAATGGACGAAAGCAACAATGAACAAGCCAATAGGGCGACTTAGGGATCTCTAAAAATTAATTCAAACACTTTTCGTACTTTTATAAAACATATTGGCGGTTTCTTCATTACTATTAGCAAGTCGGCTAAACCCTACATTAAAGATATTTTTCAAATTAATTATTAACTAATTTTTGCATTTTTTTCTATTAATATAACCCCTCTAATCTAAAATAAAACCTTTTGTCCTTAAGGTACTTTCTGATGCTTTGTGCTTGACACTGGCCAGTTTCTTTGGAAACGAAAGGACAACCGAAATTTGGAATAGGTTAAATGTTATCGAAAAAATGAAATCGATAGCAGACTGTAAATCCATAGACTCTACCTTCTATAGGAAACATTTGAAGAGATTTCTACGGTAACGCTTTGCTGGGCTGAACGGTTTTTGAAAGAATGTTGAACTTTGTTATGGAATGCACTTGAACGTTATTTGCCTTGAGATCAACAAAGAACAAATGGATTACTCCGCCGGAGATATTTTCACTAAGCAAAGCTAATGGGTTTGACTTACCCTATTGCACTCCAAAGCGGCAGCACTGTGTTCTTCGCGTTGACGGAAACAATGACTGCATTTGCTTTTATTAAAAATGTTCGGTGAAAATTTTCGGCAATCAGATGTACGTGTTGTAGATGTGGGTGATGATGACGACGCTGACATGACCGTTGTTGTTGTTGTTGTCGTTGTTGATGATGACATTCTGGATAAAAATATTTGTCTTGAGTTTTTTCGCTTTTTTTAGATATTTTTGATTTTCTCTTTTGATTTTACAACAATAAGAAGAATTGAGGTTTGACTTTGAAAATTATTTAAAAATCTATGTTATTATTATTTCTTTTTTATATAAATTGAAAATAAAGTTTATGACAAAAAGTTCAAAGAATTTTTAAATTGCTTGCTGCCTTTTTTTCATAGTGTGTGTATGTGTGTTCATCGGTAATGTGTGTTTGGATACGTGCGAACATGTGTGTATTATTGTGTGCGTGTGTATGTGTGTGTGAAAGTGATTTTTAACTAAATCAACACATGTGAGTAGACATCTCTTAAGCAGTCAGACTCTACTACTCTACTCGACTTTTGTGATAATAGGCACAAACAGAACAGCAGAACAGCAACAGCAACAGCCACAATAATAATAACAAATAAATACAACAACTAAGCATAAAAGCATAAACACACGATAACGCACTTTAATACCAACCGCGGCGCTGCTGACATGTACGTTTCATTTGGTTTTTAACGCATGGCGTGCATTATGAATATAATATGTTTATGTTCATCGGTGTCGGTGTATGCTGCTTGCGTGTGCGAATGCGAGTCTGCCGAGTTTGCATAGAGATGAAACTAACTAAATAACTTGACCAAACACTTGATATAAAACAATTTTTTTTTTTTTTTTTGTTATTTCATCTAAATAGAATGGTTTTTCAATTTCTCATTAGTTGTTCTCTTTCTACCTCTCTTTCTCCCTCTCTCTGTCTCTCGCCTTATTATTAAGTTGAAAGTGTTTGTTGTGATTTCATTTTTATAGTTTGTGTTTTTTTTCCTTTATCTTTTAAGATATGTTTTCGCAGATTTGCCTGATAGTATGTGTATATAACGAACGGTTTGATTTATTTATTTTTGTTTCTTCATTGTTTTTGTTTTTGAGCAATTTTAACACAGGAAAAAAATCTTTGTACACTCGGTAAATTAAGTTTTGAGTACATAAGAAACACCAAACAACACGGAGTTCTCTTTGGTTGGCATATATAAGCAATAACTCTTGCAACGACTCATAACATTTTTATTAGTTTTTCTCTATGTTTCCCTACAAGACCCGAAAACAGGATTCATCTCTTCGCATTACCTCCTCAACAAAGGCAATTTCTTAATTGAATATATTCATACAGAAAAGATTTATAAACGCAATAAAGTCGATAAAGTTCGTAATATTCTTTGAAGTATGAAAATTAAATATATATACATATATATGTATATATATATATATAGATATATATATGTATATATATAACCTCTCTATTTTTAAAAATCTTGGACTAGTAGTTATGTGGATCGTTAATTATTAAATAAATTTACAATTTTCGTATTTTCAATTCGGATTATTTATAGATTTTTTTTTTTTCACACTTGATTTGTTTTATTCTCTGTTCACTACTGTTTGTATAACGCTCTCTCCCTTATTTTTCTTCCGTTTATTCACTCGAACACTCGAATCGTTTCGTTTTGTACTTCTTTATTTATCCGTTTCCAAAAAAAAATTATTAATAATAATAATAAATCTTTTATTAATTTATTATGTGTTAAGTTTCCTTCTATATTTACGTATATTATTTCGCACAAACTCTCGCGACACAAAATTCACACATCTTTCTCGTTGAAAATGCTGAAGCCGACTGAGAGAATTTGAGAATTACAAAATAAATGAAAGAAACCTCCTCTCAGAGCAAATAACAATTTACAGTAACAATGCCAGCGATACCTCAAACCTCCAATAGTGCCAAGTAATCAAAGAAATCCTCTCACAGCCAACAAACTTTTGCAATAACAAAAGTAATGCTAAGGAATAAACACCACGCACTGTTTAAAAAGGTTTGAAGTAAAAACATATAAATAAATATTGCGAGAAGGCAATTGAGAGAAAATAAGCATGCTCAAGCAATCCATTTCTTTGCTCTCAATCATATTTGAATTGAATTTCGCAGTAGACTAACTCTTATAAGAGAAATAGTAAATTTGGTTTGGAAAGGTAAAAAGAGAATCCAAGTTAATCGAAGTTCGAAGGTAATAGTTGGTTTCATCGTTTCGAACTGCAACCCGAGCACGTTGTCTTGTGTAATAAGTGTTTTTTTTCGAAAAGTCCGTAATATGAATGAGTCGAAAGACCATGCTTGCGTATCGTAGAATTTCGTTTAGATCGTATTTTTAAAAAGCACAATTAATTTATCATGACTGAACAGTTAAAAAATGTGCAAGAAAAACTTAATTTTAAAGGATCTTTGTTATAACGATATTTTATCGCGAAACTATCTGCGAAATTCAAACAGAAATAGGCTATCGTCCTATCTTTAAAATTAAATTTTCGAGTAGTAAGGAAGCTGTCTAAAGCCTGTCAACTTAGGTTTTTATCAAATATTGAACTTTTACTTGTCGCTCAAGAATTCATTGCACAATTTCGGAATGCAAACAATTATATGACGAAATATAACGACTACTAACTGTATAAAGTGATAAAGTACCTACAAACGGATTTAAGCCTTTTTCATGAAAAGTACAGTCCCACAAGTAAAAAATTTGCTAGTCCCCATAATGCGGTTTAAATTCTTGTACGTCATAGCTATAGAGCATTTACATGGAATTAGTGAAGTGAGATCACAACGTACTACCAAGGAGCTCGAAATGATATCTTTCGCTTGACTATACGTTTTGATCGTTTCAAACACTACTATATTGTACAAAATTAGTAGATTTAATTTTTCAAATTATCACACATTTCAACTTTAAGCTCTCGACTAGCAACTCAGCGGTCATGGGTTCAAATCTCAAGTGCTGTAGAGTTTTTAATAAAATCGAAAGCCTTAGATGCTAGCGCTTTAAGACTTTAGTCTTAGAATTTGTTCTCTGGCTAAATTAATATCTGGCTAAATAAAATAGTAATAATTAATTTAATCACTAAATTTTTATTGCGCTTTACATTGGAAGAGCATCGCTTTTCTCTTGCTAAAAATTTAGTATTGTTAATATTTGTTATTAGAGAAATTTGTTTTGTGAATTTATACAGTCAGTAAGTCAACCAAACAAAAAAAATTCGAAAATTAGAGTTAAATCGTATGTTAAGCGAAGCATTCATATTCATATGTATAAATATATGTGCATATGTGGTGAATAGGCCACGCCCAATATAAATACCCTGCACACATATGTAAAGGTTTTCAAAATAGGGCGCTATTTGTTCGGAAATGGCCCTGACCGTTTTAACTAGTATCCGTCGATAACATGTCGGTGTACAAGATTTCATCGAAAAATCTCAAAAATCGCGATCCATAGCTTGAACACAGAAAACAAGACGGACAAACGGCCAGACAAATTTAAAATTACTTTCTGTAACGATAGTTGTAATAAAACCTTGTTGTAATAAATGGTTGCTCTATCTCGAGGCCTTGTGGGTTTGTACACATCCGCAAAAGTTTAGTGTGCCCTTGCACCTTAAGTGGTGTAGAATCTAAATGAAAAAATTTTAAGTTTTAGTTCAATTTTCTCGTCTCCAGATCGAGGGAAATGTATTAAAATTACTTAATTTAATATCAACTAAGTGAGGTTTGATTATACGCAATTAAAATTCCTAATTCCAAACTCTTGTCCCAACACAAATTTCGAGGAGTTTTCCTAATACGATTTTCTCTTATTGAGGGATTTTATTAATAACACATTCATCAACTTTTCAGTACTGCAACATCTGCTGCCAAATTTCTACGATCTAATGAAGCATGATTAACAATTCTCGTTCCTTATTGGATAGGCTTCAGCTTACGTCACATTTTTATCGAACAGCTAAGCAAAGTCAAAAAGTTTGCAAAATGACTTTCTTGGAAGACACCAGACAAGTTGTTTGTCGTTCGATCAGCATCTTAGTGTAACTTGTAATCATAATTACTTAAGGAAAATAAAATCAGATTTACTCAAAAACGGTAAGGGCTTCTATAACTTTGCCGATCCATGAAATAAAGAGAAACGCATTCGTTTGTTTCGTTTTTATTGTTGTGATTTTTTCGCAACGCAATTATGCTTACAATGTCACAAAAATTTTGAATGGCCCATATAAAATGGCCTTTCATTAAGAGTGATAGTTTTTTTATTCAAATGTGAAATAAAAACCAATTAAATATATGATAATAAATTGTGCTTTGTTTTCAAGCTTAGGCATTACAATTGTATTCTTAGGTATATACTTAAGTCGTATTTATATCCTACACTACTTGTGGTACAAGGATATATTGAGTTTCTACATATGTATGCAAGAAAAGATGAAACCATATTTTATTATGCTGATCGATGCAAAATCATTTAAACTTATCTGTACGTCTGTGCATCTTGTTTTCTTCAAACTACAAGTCGCAGTTTTTGAAATATTTGGATGAAATTTGCTACACTTACGTTTTTTGGCCCAAAAACGAACGGTATTGAAAATTGTTCGGATCGGAACAATTTTTCCGCCACTACCCACATAACGCCTTATTTTGAAAAATCGTTATTTGAACAAATGTAGGGTGATGCAGTCCTCTGGTTTACTATAACGTTTTTACTTTTTTTTAATTTGCGTTTATTCGCATTTTTCACACATAAATTGTAATCCAGGTAACGGCATTGGATAGATGAGTTTTCTTTAAGTAAACGGAACAATAAGGTGAATTTCAAGGTTAAATTTGATGCACTATTCAGAAACGCACACACACACACACACTCACGCACACACGCAAATACGCACATCAGAAAAAATTAATAGACTTCGTGTCGTGCTTGATAGCAATTTACATAAATGGCCGTTCGTCTGTGCATGTGTATGCGTTCTAGAAAATATTCAAAATTTATTCACCTGTTGAGTTGAAAGAAATATGTTGGGTTTGATCTTAAACCAATTGAATCTACAAGGTCGACATAAATAATTAAAAAGACCGTACATAAAGTTCTCTAGATTAGCATAGTGTTGGGCGTTTGTCATCAAACCGTTGCGTTTAGTTTTGCACAATAAATCGAACAACAATATTGCATTGAGTGGGTGAATAAGAAAATTTGAGTGTGGAGTTAAATATGTTAAACATTTTCGAAATGTAAGACATTTGCATAAAATAATTTAATAATTAAAGCCAAATATGGGATTTTAATGATATATTTTTTTAATTTTATTTTATTTATTCGTTTTCTTTTTATTTATTTATTTTTATTTTTTTTTTTGTGAAAAAAAACAAACACAAAATCCAGTTAACAATCTCTTCCTACGGCCTAAAACTTGTAATTGAAACCGGTGTAAGGTGCAAGCACTAACAGCTTAACGTTATTCTTGTTGTTATTGTTGTTGTTGTTGTTTCGCGTATTTTTATGAGCAATGCATTTAGTTTCTTTAATAAATTCCAAAAAAAAAAGAAAAAAAAATCTGTATATAGGAAAAATTTTTAAATGGCTATAAACAGTACCCAATAGACTTGACGCGCCATCTGTCTGTCTACACGGAACTATATATCATCTCAATGCCAGCGCTCTGTTTGCTCCGTTCAGTTGGTTAACTATAATACATGGAGTTTCGAGCGCGAGTTTAACTTCCTAACGTTTCATTGTTGTTATAATTTTATTATTGTTATTGTTTTTGTTGTTGTTACTGTTTATATTATTTAGTTTTCCCATATACTTGACTATTTTAACGCTCTGCTTGCTATATTGTATAAATTGGCGGTGTGTTTGTATATATATATATATATATATATATATATATATGTGTGTGTGTGTGTGTGCTGGGTGCAGTGCGGATTAGTCAATTAACACAAAATCGTATAAACTTATATTTGAGTGTATGCCGTGCAAGAGTTTTGGGGAAATAATATAAAATTTCACTTTCACGAAAGGTCTACGTACTGTAGGCAATCGGTACAGCTAGCTGATGCACATACATACACACACACACACACACACACACACACAGAAACACACAACAACAAAACACGCCAAGCTTTACTTTTTCTATGCCAGCAATCCATGCCGCAACAACGTACGGTAGTTATTTAAGTACCAGTCTGTAAGCCGTTCAAAAAAACATACGTTTATAGGCTATATAAACCTAACAATGACTGTGCAGGTGGCATTAACAGTTACCTACACACAGTTATGCACAGTTATAGCTGCGGTAGTCGCAGTGGCTGTGGCTGTGGCTGTGGCAGCGTCATGCAATTGATACAACATTAAACGTATACACCAACTAACCTAAACAAGTTTGATAAATGTACCGCAGAAAGTGGTACAACAAATATTTACTCTTCAACTCTCCTTTGCAGTAAGATTAAAGAAAAATGGCATCAAATTCTGATACTTGATTATTCTTTTGATCGATATCTGTTCCCTAATAGATGGCGAAACAAATTTATTCAAATTTCAACTTCAACTTCAACTTCAATTGTACCCTCTGCTCCAGCGTTAGAAAAATTTACGAAAAATTTCATTTTTCAGATACTTTTCGTTTATAAGATTGAAGTACAATATTCACATCATACGGCATTCATTTGCTGTTTTTAGTGGATGCCCGCGTAACGAGGTGATGGTGTGAAAGAGATTTGCAAACAGAAACGGATGGGGAGTGACCGTAGTCCAGTAGCCGCGTGTTCACAAAAAACGCATACAAAATTCTATTCATCGTCAAGTTCATGAACATGCAACAACAGCGAAGCGATAGTTTGCATGAAAGAAAAATTAAAAATAAAATACTTAAGATAACGTTTATTTACGTT